CTCCCAGGGAGCTGTAAGGAGCAAAGGAGATGCCACTGGGAAAGCTCCCCGCAAACCTTCTGGTGCTGGTTGAATGGGAGTCGGTGGCAACACCTGGGGGACGACGCTCTGCCCTCCCATGCACAGAGACCTTGGTCTCAGAATTCCTACCCGACGATGGCAAGTCCATGTTTTCAGGAGGCCTGCTCGTGTCTTCCAGGGACCCCCTTCCACACCAGCCCAGGGCCTCGGGGGAGCTCCTGTTTCCTGCCTGGATCGCCACTGCACCCTCTCGTTGGGCGTCTGGGCCTCAGTTTCCTCCTTTGTAAAATGAGGAGTTTGGACTGAATGATGCCTTCCAGTGCCAGAATTCTGGGATTCTCCATCCCCACAGTGTGACTCATCACCTCCCACACCATGGCTCCTTCTGTAATGAGCCCTTCTAATCATGGACACGGGGGTTAGAGACGGCCCACGGCAGCCCAGCCTTCAGTTTCCTGCCTCCGAGAATCTCTCCACACAAAGAGTAAATGACAGTGTCTTTCTGGGCTGGGCTGTGGTGATGGGTTTCTACCGCAGAACAAGAAAATGGGAATGCCGTTGGCCACCACCAGAGAGGAGACGAGAGCTGTCTGAGCTTCTCGGAGGCGAGACCCTGTGCTGTAAAACAAAGACGATGCCTACACGTGGCCTGCCGGCATCTGACCAATGACCACGTCTTGTGCATTCTCCTTCCACCACATCTCTCCCATCAGGCCCCTTCTCTAGGCTCATCCAGACACTGGGCTCACTGGGGTCCCGGCTTCCATCCCCTCCCCCTTCCTGTCCCCCACACAGCCACCAAACTGATAATCCTACGGCGTGGCTGTGACCACACAGCGACCACGCACAGAGCTCTTAGATGGCAGCAATGTGCGCGATCTTCGGTAGCCTACTTACTCAAAAGCATTCCGTGGCTCCCTGCTCCCTTTGGATGAAATACAAACCTCCCAGGCTGCGTTTAAAGCCCCCCACAACATGACTCCCACATATCTTTCGGCCTTATTTCATATTTTCACACACTCCCTGTTCCCTGGTCACGCTGGCCCTCTGGTGGTTTCTCACACAGGATATGTCATCTACTTCCTCCATGCCTTTGCACAGCCTGCCCCCAGAGTCTCCTGCCAAGCACAGCTTAGCTTGGGGCCTCCTCCCAGGGATTAGCACTCATCCCCTCTTCAAGCTTCTCCGTGTTTCCTTAACGGTCTGCACACTGCACCCCCCAGGAGGATGGAAGCTTCTTTAGGGAAGGAACTGGTGGGGTTTTGGTTCGATGCCTTATCACCCCAACCCCAAGCCCAGAGCCTGGAGTGTGGACCTATGATGCCATTGTGGTAGGCAAGGAAAACAGACTCTTAGCTTAGAGTCTGACAGTCAGCTGAGCTAGAGAGGCCAAGTAACTTTCACAGCTGGGGCCGCCATCATGCATTGGGCACTGGGCCCAGGGTTAGGAAGACCTGAGTTCAAATCCCACCTTGAACATGCCTCAGCTTTGTGACATTGGACAAGTCACTTAACCTCTATCTGCCTCAGTTTCCTCATCTGTAAAATGGGAATCATAACAGCACGTACCTGTTATTGTAAGGATCAAATGCAGTAATAATTGTAAAGCATGTAGAACAGTGCCTGGCACATAGTAGGCACACATAAATATCCCCCTTTCCTTTCCCCAGGGTCACAGAACCAAGACATATCAGGGTAGGACTTGAATCCAGGGCTTCTGGCTCCAAGGTCATTGGTACGCTGTCCAGGGTCTCGGTTTCCTCAGCCATAAAATGTAGAGGTTGTTCCAGTTGCCCTCTGAGGTCCCTGAGGTCCCTTCTGTCTTGACATACATGATCTAGAACCTCTGACCCTTTGACCACAGCCATGTGGACTCTACCCCCAGCAGGTACCTAAGAGATGTTTGAGGAATTGATTGGAAAACACTTTCAAATGGGCCCCTCCATCCCTGCTTCATCATCACTGAGGGGCAACAGAGAGCCTCTGTCCGGGCCCGATTCATCTAAAGTGACAGCGGTCCGACTATCAGCCCCCACCCCCTCATTCTCCTCCCTCTTCCATTATGGGGGAGAGAGAAGGGGAGGGGCGCAGGAGATGGGGGCAGGGGAAGCCAAACCTTCTACCCCCTTTGCTCACTAGTGACATTTGGCAGGGACGGAGACCAGGGATGTCGTCCAAGAAAAGAAAAATTGGGGAGGACAGACATAATTGGGAGACCACCCACACCACAAACTACAAAACCTCTGAGTCCCTGACATCTGCCCTCGCCGAGAGGGGAGGCAGCAGTGACTTCCCTGGCTGCTGCGGCTCTCCAGAGCTCTCCATGGCTCCCAGATTTTAGTCAATAATCACATCCAGGAAACCAGGGGAGAAGAAGAGAAAGAGGGCTTTCTATTTGAGTTCAGAGGAATCATTTGTGAGCTGTGGCTCCCTCTGCTAGACAGATTTTCAGGGGATCATTCAACAAAAACCCTACAGGGAACAGCAACATTCTAGAAAGAGGGAGGAAATTTGGAGTTAGAGAAGCTGGGTTCAAATCTCAGCTCTGCTACTTATGACCTTGGGTGGGTCCCTTCCCTTCTCCTCATCTATCAAGCAAAGGGGCCAGACCAGTCGGCCTTGAAAGCCCCTGCCAGATTTAAACTAGATCCTTTTTCTGGCTTCCCTATGGTGGGGGTGTTTTGTTTTTATTGAGTTTTCTTTGCTGGGTAGCCTAGAAGATAGAGTGCTGGACTTTAAGTCAGGAAGACCCGAGTTCAAATCCTGCCTCAGATACCTACTAGCTATGTGAGCAAATCACTTAACCTCCTTCAGCCTTGGTTTCCCCAAAAAGCATCCATTTCACAGAATTTTTAGTTAATACATACATATAAATGTGTGTGTATATATATATATATGAAGCATTTTGCAAACTTAAAGAGCTGTATATACAAATGCTAGCTATCATTATTATCATTATTCAGCTGTAATTCCCCTGAAAACAGGGATCTCAACTACCCATGGGCCTTGAATGACTCCTACCACAGATTAATGACATTCAATGATAATGATTCAAACATGAAAAAGCCACGTGACCAGTTAAGAAGGCCTAGGTCCAAATCCCAGGTGGGACGTTGACCAGTCTGGTGACCCCGAGCAAATCCCTCAACCACTCTGAGCCTCAGTTTCTCCATCTGCCCAGTAAGGGTAGTAACAGCCACAGTACCCAGGGAGGTCCAAATGAGACGAAGAGAACTGCAGACTGGAAAGCATCCTCTGTCGGTTACCGTTACTGACGGGATCAACTGTCGCCTTTTAAGGAATCGTTCCATCTGGGGTGGTCCGATGCCTTCCCACGCCCCTGACTGCGCGAGGGGGACGCTCTGGACCCGACAAGTTAGCTCCCTTTCTCTTTATGTTTGGATCCTTGGAAACCAAGGCTCTTGGCTGATTCCTTGGCCAGACGGGTTAAAGAGCGGTCAGCTCCAACGCCCGTGATCAGTCCATTTGCTGCTTTCCCAGCACATCTTCACTTGGGTTGCTACCGCTCCTATGGGTGTGAGTTTCTTTTTTGTCCCCAGATGAGGCTGCCTCAACTTTCTGGGGAGACAAAGCAAGCAGGCTCCCCGCCCCACGGGCCACCAGCCTCCAGGAATCAGCTCACGGCAGCCAGCTTCTGGCCGCGCCTGTTCCATGGATCACAAGGCCCCACATCTCTCTCTCCCAGCACCTCCTGACCAGCGCCCTGCCTGGTGAGCCCTCAAGGCACAAAGCACAGGAAGACATATGACATGTGGGGCATTTAAAGGCCTCTCCCTCAGCAGCCTGAACAACCTGGAAAACCCCAGGAAGGAAGACCAGAAACAGAAAGGAAAGGCAGAACCACCTCTCCCGGAGGAAGCAAAGCAAGACAGTGCAAGGGTCTGTTCAGATTGCTCCAGAAGCCTGAGGGATCTTGGCAGGGGAGAAAATAAAAAAATAAAAAGCAGGAGAGGTTTCTGGGCTGAGAAAAAAGGAAGGTCGTTGCTAAAAGGGCATTCAGGGGGCTTTCAGCCCGAGCTGCTCTGGCTAACAAGGTCACCGGGCTTTCTGACCAACCCAAACACTAACCCTGGGGCTCAAGAAGCCGGCTCACAACAGGCCAATTCTCCCTGGTGACCAGGTCATTCCAAAGGAGCCATTTCAGCGCTCTCAGAGGCATATTAACTCTTGCAAACCACCAGAAAACTATTTAATGTCAGGTTTTTTTAAAGAGCAGTCCAAGGATATAAGAGAATCGTAGATTAAGAGCTAGAAAGAACCTTAGACACTGTTGAATCCACTCATTTTACAGAAAAGGGAACTGAGGTCAGGGAGAACAAAGTCCGGATATGAATTCCCCTCCACACCAAGGCTCTTTCCCTCCTGGGAAAGCCCCCTCGGGTTCCACAGGGTCCACTGAACGAGGAGGGAGGCCGACGGCACATTTGTGAAACAAAAGATTCTTCTTCATCCTCCATCTATCAAGAGAGCTTCCACTGAGCACCTTCTACGTGCCAGGCACTGGGCCAAGTTTGTGGGAAAGCATGATTCCCGAATCCTGCTCCTTCCGTCTCCCCCACTGCCTTGGGGCCCTTCCTGTCACTAGGAAGAGGAGAGTCAGAGGAGATGATCTCTGGCCTCCCCAGCCTTCCATTTTGGCATTCGACTTATTTATTACCCTGGGAATGACCTCGGCCCCAGAAGAAAATAGTCCCTTAGAATGCCCCCATGCACAAAATGGCTTGCTGAAGAGGAGATGGGGAAGCATACATTTGGAAATGAAAGGGATCCTAAAATAAAAAACATCCATGTTTTTAAAAATAAAAACACGGACAAACATTACCTTAAAAAAATGACCACAGTGTTCCCCAAAGACCATTTGAGGGCAAGCATCACAAACACCAACTCAAGTTTGGGGATCAAAGGCCAAGAATGTCAAAACCCTAAGAAGCGAGAGGCAGAGACATATCATCCCTTACCTTCATAGCACGGGATCAGGGTCCGGCCTTTAGCCTGGAGGTTGGCCGGGATGATGTAGCAGAAGCCATGCGGAAGGATGTGATCTGTCTCATAGTAGATGTTTTTCCAGCGATGTGCACAGGCCTGTGGGGATGAGAGTGACAGAGGCGTTCAGAGCAGGCCGCACCTGACTCACTGCCCGCGGGGTGACAGACACAATGGAGGGTGCTCCAGAATGTTTAGCAGTTGGAGGTAACGAGGTAGAGAAGCTCTCTGGGCCACCTTCCCTCAAAAATACACACACACACACACACACACACACACACACACACACACACACACAATGAGCTCTACTGATCATCAGGACCCCTCTGAGATGGCCTTAAGGGGAGCACTGCCAGGACCCCAGAGACATCTGAGATGGGAGATCTTTCTTCTAGTGTTAGCTGACCTAGATTCTCCTTCCAGGACACTGCAGGGCATCCAAAAAACCAGCCAGCCACGTCCACAAGATGCAACCAGGACCGGCAGATGGCTAGCCAGCCATGCAATGTCCAGGTGGGCAGGCCAAGCCCTCCTCCCACCGAGGGATGGGGGAGACCCACCCATTTAGGAGAGATTTTGCTCTCTTAAAGTACCAAACCAAGACTATTTGATGAATCAAAATCATTAAGATTGGCTCATGAATATTCCCCACTTACATGTGCTTCAGACACACTGCAGTATGCCCTTTCTCTAGCAATATGACCGACAGGCAATAGAAATATGGCATCCCATGGAACTACTAACTAACGGTGAGGAGACATTTTCTTGAATTAAACGTTAATTGCTGATACTTTACATAAGAGAGAGAGGACATGAGGTAGTGTCAAGAAGCTCTGGGCCTCAGTTTCCCCACCTGCTAGTGTCCTTTCACCCCCACCCCACCAACCACCTTGTACTGTGTTATGATCGCTGCGCAGTTGCATTCTGCTCTATGCTGTGGCCTACTCAGGCTGCTCCATCGTCCTCAGTCTGGAGGTAGCGGGGGAGAAAGATGCTGAATCCTTGACCGCATCTGTATTCCAATATTGGTAAAATGTCAGTACTGAAAGGATGTGTTTTGGCTACCAAAGGAAGGTCGGGGGTCAGTAAAAGAGTTCTGCAGTCTAAGCTCTGCAGTCTAAGTCCAAAGCAATCTAGCTCTTCCTCCCTGTCAACTGAGGGCCCCACTCATACGAGAAGGGGTGCGCTGGTAAATGTTTAACAACCAGCTCTGGGGAGATGCGGGGTGTAAGCACAGCACACTTTAAGTTTAACCTGAATTACTGGCATTTCCTCCATCATTCTCTGAAGTCTGAACCATCAGTGAAAACAATAAATCAAGACCAGGTTTGCAGCATTTGTGTAAATACCCTGAAAATTGAACAATCAGCTCTTTTAAGCCAGATCAGGCTGGCTCCCACCTGGTGCTGGATAGGAGGAACCCCATAAAGGAAAACTAATGACATCATCGAGGAATTGTACAGCAGAAAGAGAAGATGGGCTAGTCACATGGCAAGAGTAAGGGGTGAAAACGGGGAAGGCCAGAGAGCTCCACAGGAGAGAAAGGAAGGAAGGCTGCCAGTACATGAGGAGGATCCTCTGTGGTGAACTTATGGGAGGGCACATGCAACATATGTCACACAGCACAGGCAGGTCTGGACAGGTCACAATCGGAAACATTGGCAGAAATGCCCTAATGACAGAGATCTATTTGAGTGTTTGAATATTTTTCTTTTGTAATAAGAACAGCTCACATTTACACAGCACTTTAAGGTTTACAAAGTATTTTATGTATGATATATTAAAATCATGTATGTGTAAAAAAATCTCACATATGTATGCATATATATGTATATGTGTATATACACACATATACACATATATACATAAAACAAAGATTTATCTTGTAAGGTTCTAGTGAATATCAGGTTTTATATATGCATATATACATACGTGTATACGTATGTATAGGTGTGTGTGTATGTGTGTATATATATATATACACACATATACACATATACACACAGATGTACATACACAAAAACTGATCTTCACTAGAACCCTACAACATAAATCTTCATTTCATGCATAAGGAAACTGGGTCTGAGAGGTTCCATGCCTTGCCCAGGGTCACACAGATACTAAGCATCTGAGCCAGATTTGAACTCTGATCTTCCTGACGCCAAGGCCAGTGCTCTAACCACAGGGCCACACTGATTCCTACTTATAAATGTGCTTATTTCTCCCCCATTAGACTGTAAGCCTCTGAGAGAAGAGAATTTCTTTCTGCATCCGTGTCACAGTGCCCGCCCAGCATGTAGAAGGCATTTAAGCAAAGCTAGCTGACTAAGATTTCACCAAGGAAGTTGTATTGGATTCTGCCTTCTCAGAGGCCACAGCTCTGCTGAATGGGGCAGTGCGGTCCAGTGCTCTCCTTACTCATCCCTAACCTCTGACATTCACACGGTTGTTTTTATGGGATAAAACAGGGCATTGTTGTCCCCCGTATTGTAAACAGCCTTCCTTCCTCCTATTCTGATGGTCTGCTGCTAAAATAGCTTGCTTATCAAAGAGCCAAAAACACCATGAAGATCGATGGGAACTGTAGAAATACATCGCCGGATGAATGGCCGTTCCTGTTCTATGTGCATGTCTTATGCCTGGTCCCATCTTGATAGCTTGTAAACTTCTGGCACCATGCTTGAATTCTTAAGTAAATCAATCATCCGACAGTTTGTGGGCACAGTGGAGGGGAGACCTTGGTCACTAGAGCCTCGAGCTCTTCATCAGCGGCTCTCCGAGCTGTCTCTAGGCCAAGGATGTTGATGAGGGCCGCCTGACAAACAGCTGTACATTCTGAGACTCACAAGAAGGAACCCACTGCCCTAAATTACTCATTTCTTTAAGCAAATACTGTGCTCAGCACAGCCAGGTATTGGGCAGCTGGGTGGCACAGTGGATAGAGCGCTGGGCGGCACAGTGGATAGAGCGCTGGGCCTAGAGGTTCAAAACTGGCCTGAGACACTATATGACCCTGGGCAAGTCACTTCACCCTGTTTGCCTCAGTTTCCTCATCTGTAAAAATGAGCTGGAGAAGGAAATGGCAAACCATTCTAGTATCTTTGCCAAGAAAACCCCAATTGGGGTCAAGAAGAGTCAGACACGACTAAACAATTAAGTGCTCACCAATCAGATTTTTTATTTCAAGTACCATGAGCAATTTATTTCAGAAATGACAGATAAAAATTGGGGGTGTGGGGGATGGCCAAGGTAATACTGATGACCTCCAGCCCTTACAAACAGGTCAGCAACCAGAATCAGAGGAAGGGGAAACAAAATAGAGTTCTCTAAATATATCTTGTGGAAAGAAAAGACAGAGTGTCCTTCACTGAGGAAAGACAACGTATCTCAATATCCACATTCATGCTCCCCTGACCTTTTTTTCCCCCCAAAAAAAATCCTAGAAACTACTCTCCCTAGCACCAATTAGACCATTAATCTTTCTCAAGGAGCCCCTTGGGTGGAAAAGGAGGCCTAAGGAACATGAACAGGAAGGACATCCGCTTTCCTGAACCCGGCGGCCTGCCTTGGCCAAGTCATGAAGACAGGAGGCCACAAGAGAGAATGAGAGGGAGTTACTGGCTCAGAGACGGGAGGACTGACCCAATTTCTGGGGCCTGACAAGCCTTCCCTTAAAGGCTGACAAGGGGAGAGAGACAAGAAGCATTTCACGACAACCACCCCCTCTGCTCTTTCAGAGCTAAGTGAATCATTTCCAGTGACTTGGAGCCTCCCAATTCCATTCAAGCTATCATGAGGGCAGCACAGTGCTAGGCACAGGGGAGAGTGACCAGTTCATACCTACTGGAAGTCTTTCTTCACCAGAGATACCCGCCTTCGTGAAGCCCAGCTACGCGTCGCTGAGAAAGCCAAGGACAAAAGCAGAGCAAGGACATCGGACGCTCTTGCTTACGCAGGGGGACTATTTCCAAGGCCACAAGGTTCTCCCAGTCACTTGGCCAGGGTCCGATCCCAAAGCACAGCCACAAGAGAGCCATGAAGTAGATGGATTCAGCCACTGCTTGGGAAGGATAGAGCAGGAGAACAGAGCAGGAGGAGAGGGGCTAAGGGCCTCCAGAAGGAAGTGAGGGCCCTCCATCTGCTGGATCTGAGGGCTCCCCCCAACAGGGACAGCCCCCTTGCCTCGTGCGGTGGCTTTAGCCCAGCCAAGAGGGTTAGCTTTGTCATCGCTGGGCAGACCCAGGGAAGCATCATGGTGCGGTGGGAAGAAGAGGGGCCCCGAAGGCACGGCACCTGGCTTCAAACCCTGAGGTTGCCACGGATTACCTGTGTGGCCTGCGGTATGTCACTTTGATTTTCTGGGCCTCAGTTCCCTCAGCTATAAAATAAGGGGAGGGACTAGGCTTCTGGGGTCCCATGTTCCTAAACTCTGCTTCTGACACAAGCTGACTTTGACACTACAGACAAGTCCCTCAGGCTTCTAGTGCCCTGGGGCCAGTCTCCGAGACTCTGAGTGAGGAGGCGCACGGGGAGGGCCCTAGAACAGGCCTCTTCCATACTAATGAAATTACAGGTCTGGTTAAAAAAAATCCCTTAATAGAAACGCCATTCTTCCTGCCAAGCCATTCCTAAATTGTGATGCCAAAGACCATGATGGCCTAGATGACACTGAAGGTCAAGAGAAGGTTCCCACCAAGTCCCAGTGGATTGTTCACCATCTTGTTCAGCCTCAATGTGGGGAAAAAATCAGTGCCCACCTCACAATGGAGCACCCACATAACAGAAGGTAGCCTCGCGGCCCAGCAGGCACCTGACAGGCTGGGCATGGTGCCCTGGGCACTGGCTGAGCCAGTTTCAATGTCCATGTTTCAGCACAGAGCTAGTCTTCACTGAGACTCTTCCCAGACTGGCAGTGCCCGCCAATCCTTCTGTCCTTAGAACCAGCATCGGCCACGTTCCCAAACGGCTGCCCCACCCACCGCGCCGCTTATGATCCCATCTTGGCTGTTCACTTCTCGCCAGCCCTCTGAGACATCACAGCTAGGGATCTCAACCCTGGTTCTGCAAAACTCTGGGAGATCAAACGTGAAATATTCCAGGCCGGGAGGATAGTGAGGACAAAGGCAGAAAGTCACAGGGCAAGTTTGCTGAGCAATGGGAAGGCAGACCAGCCTGGTAAAAAAGAAGGATTTGCCCTGGAGATTCGTAGGAGATAAAGCTAGTAAGTGGCTGAGGTTGGATTTGAACTCGGATCCAGGCCCAGCACTCTCTCCGCTGCACCACTGGCTGTCTCTTAGTATGAGGGTGCTGAGGCCAAGCACACCATCACTGGTAAGGGGCTTAATTAATTCCAGCATCTCTGGGGGAGCTGTGAAATTCTGTGAGTTTCACTACAATGGATCCTGGCAGAATTACAGAATCTCAGAGGAGGAAAAGGGCTCCGGGGCCATCTTGTCTGACCCACTCCAGAAGAAGAGAACTGGCAAATACTTATCCAGCCTTAGATTCAAGACCTCCAAGGAAGGGATCATAGGACCCTAGACTTGATGAGGACACTGAGGCACATGGAGGTCACATAGGTCGCATAGGTAGTGTCAAAAGTGGGATCCGAATTCAGGTCTTCCTAATGCCAGGTCCGGCCCTCCCGAGATGCTATCCCTGAGGGAGCCCATGAACCTTCAGTTACCTTCTAATTTTTAGGAAGTTTTTCTAGACATCAAGCCTAAATTATCACTACTTCCATCCGGTGCTTCCAGGTCTCCCCTCTAGGCCCAAGCAGAACAAAGCTAATCCCCCTTCTTCTTCAAGGCAGCCCTTCAAATACCAAAGCCAGCTGTCCAATCCCCACAAGTCTTCTGTTCTCTGGGCTAAACGTTCTCAGTCTTGCGACCCATCTTCCCCTAGTATGATGTCAAGGCCCTACTAAGGCCTCGTGCTCACTCTCTTCCCTTCCCTCTCATTCCTGGTGATTTGACAGAAGATGGATGACTGTGCTCTGTGTATCTAGAACCCAGAGCCTCCAACACACAGGGAGCCCTCCTCCTTCCTCACTTGACCTTTCTCAGGGAGCTGGGACATCAGCCTGGGAGCCAAATTCAGCTCATGGTTCGGTCTCTAAACAAGATGAGTTCACATGCTGCACGCGGGCCTGGGGCAGGGGGCGGCAATCCACATCACCCTTTGGTTTGAGGATGGGATCAACATTCAGGGTCTTTTCCTAGTAAAGTCCCACTTCTAGTTTGTGATTAGCCAGGAGTGAGTCAGCAATGCGGCCCTACCCCTTTAAACAATAATAAAAAGGGGACAGTGCTCCCTGTGGGCCAGTGTGGACCCCCACTCCATCCCCATCCCAAGGTGCCCAGCAATCCCAGGAGGTGGAGATGGCTGAGGGGCAGCATGGCACAGGAAGGAGGAAACCTTCCCACCGTCCCCACCGCTGCTCTGAGACCTATGAAGTGACTGGCCTTTCTTTTAGGGCTCCACCCCCAGAGAATATACACACACATACCTAGCACATATATACACCATACATATCCATATGTGTGTACACATCCACCCAGCACACACTTAGAGACACATCCACATGCAGTTGAGCTCATTTCAGGGTTTAATAACAAGGAAGTTCTATTTTTTTTAAATACCTAACCACACTCCTCCCTCCTTCTCATTACCAAACAAACTCTCTGTTCTGACCTTTGGAGGAGAGAGGAACCAGCTGGCCATCACCCTCCCCTCAGCCATAGTCCTCCCAGTCTGCGTTAGCTCATCCCTGATGTTTGGCTCTGCCCTGGACAGCCTCTTTTTCTCACCTAGACTTAATCGCTGAATGGGCACTGCCTCAGTCAAACCGAGACCTAGGAAAGACCTTAGCTCAAAAAGGCCAAAGTCTCCCACAGCATGGGGGCCATCTCCAGCCCTCCCGATCTACATCTGGCCGCTGGACCCAGATGGCTCCGGAGGACAAAGTGAAGCTGGTGACTTTGCACAGCCCTGCCTCACTTCAATCCAATCCACTGGCACATCATGGCATCACCTCCCTGATGTCACGGCCCTCTTCAACAACGAAGGACAAACACCAGCAGCCCTTTAATGATCCTATCTGCTCTTCTGGCCCCACGGTGAGTCCTCCCAACAGGAAGCAAGACCAGGAACTGCCTCTTAGTACCTGCCTTTCAACCCTAGAATTCAATGAGCATTTGGTGATATTCATCACCGTGGCCAAACTTCCTGCCCTCTCTGAGCCTCAGTTTCCCCATCTATATAATAGAGATAACGATACAGGCAAGTACCAAGCTAGAGGTTTTTTGCCAGAACCAAATGAGGTAAACATATGCGCAGAGCATGGCCAGCCTTCAAGCACCTGTAAATAACAACCATCGTCTTATTGCCTCACTCCTCCACCCCATAAATTGTCAGCACCTAATAGGCAATGGTTAACTATAAGCACTGACACGTATACAATTATCCAAAGCCCTCTACACATATTAGCTCACTGGAGGCCCACAAGAACCCTGGGAGGTGAGGAGCATTACTGCTGCCCATCTTAGAGATGAGAACGATGAGGCTGAGAGCAGCAGGATTTGAACGCGGGTGCCCCAACTCTAGGTCCGGCACGCTCTCCTCCATGCCTATGCAAGGAGCACCGGCACACGGTCAGCAGTCCGCCTGACTGAGGCAGGACCTGGCACCCGGTCACGGGTCCTTCACATCACCACCCCACCACGCCCTTGGGACCCGGAAGAGGGCCGAGCGACTTACCAGCACTTGGCCGTCAGCTTTGGGCTGCCGCGCGAGGCTGACCCCCATCCACTCCTCGTCCCTGTCTTCTTTGCAAGTCTTTCCACAAGACGTGCCTCGACTCTTTCCTGAAAAGACAGCAGAAAACACAGCTTTCAGTGGGTGGGGGCATTATTCTCTGGTTCCTCTGGCTTCCTTAGCTTTCCATCATTTCTCTACTGATAAAAAAGCCACCATTTCTCCTCATTAAAAGAAAATGAAACGACGTCACAGAAAAGAGAGAGAGTGAGCATGTAAACAGGAAATTACAGAGGACGGAGACAGAGGACAGAAAGTCAGAGGGCAGAGTCTGCCTCCGACACCCTCCCAAAGGGGAGCTGACCCACCTCGAACCATGTCCAGTTCTGTGCACCTCCGGTCTGGGTTAGTGTGGACCCGGCATTTAAAAACCGCCCCAGGGGACTTCACGGAAGTACTGTACTTCGAATCTGCCTTCGGAGCACCGACAAGGACCCTGAACACCAAGTGAGAGGAAAATAAAAACGCATTAACATGGAGGAGAGCAGTGGCCAGGGTCTACTTAGCTCACGAGATCGAGAGAGGTCACCTAGTCTAGCCACTTCATTTTACAGATGAGGAAACTGAGGCCCAGAGGCTCGATAGAAACATGGCAGAGGCACCTTGGCTGAGCAGCACAGACCAGAGTTAAAAGGAAATGACCGTCGATTGCCTTCCAATGACTCCTCTGCTTCTGGCCTGGCTCCCCAAAAGGTCTGGAAGCCCGTTATCTTTCCCCTTCCTTCTCACCAAGCTCCCTACCCCAACAATGCTCCACCTCCAAACACCCCCAACCCACAGCTAGGGGAAAAAGCAGCTGCATTTCATTATAACTGCAATTAAGGACACGGTGAATACCAGTGATGGAATAACTCACAGACAATAAAGGAGAGGAAAACAAAACAAACTTGGCACCCTTTCCTTCCTCGAAAACCCCGACGAGCTCCTAGGACCACTCAGGGATGGTGGGGGCAGGGACTGTGCGAAGAGGGAGAGCTGAGCACCCGAGGCAGAGAAGACTTTCCCGGAGTGTCAGGGGGAGTGTCAGGTCGCAAAGAGGACCGTGGGACATCTCCATTCCAAGAGCCACGTGTTCAACTCGGCCTGGTTTAATGCATCATTTCCACAGACGTCAACCAGAGTTGTGGAGGGCCCCAACTTGGCAGGCTTTCGTGCCGAGTGACCCATTCAGAAAGGTGACCCCTTCCTTCTTTTACTGAGACACCTTGAAGTAGAGCCAGACTGCTTTGTGTGGATCTCCCAGGACTCCCAGTTATTCTTCCCTCGGTTCAATAAACACCTTCTAGGTACTGGGCTCCAAAACAAGAAAATAACAGCCTGCCCTCAAGGAGCTTCCATTCTACTGGGGGGAGGGGGAATAGGCACCCAGGAAAACACTAATTGGGAAG